AGCGTAACAGTGTTTCGTGAGACATCGCGAAGCCTGTTACGCGAGACGTGGTCTGGCGTACATCTACCTAGTTGGCTGAGCGATTAACGAAGCCTATTACTCCACGAAGCCTATTACTCCAGTGATGATCAAAAAGTTTCGCGTCTGTGTGTCTGTCTGTCATCACGATAACTCGGGAACAAATTGAGCTAGCGACCTGGGATTTGCAGGGTCGTTTTGTGCTATAAAATGACAGATCGAATTCGGAGGTGAGCATTCTAGCTCAAAAATTAGATTCTTTAAAAATCAAAAACAACGGGTCAGAAAAATGACGTTTTTTGAAAACATTTCTTTTTATGGTGTCCTAGGGGTAACTCGACAAAGTAGAGCCCTGCAGACGAAAATTTTGTCCGTTTTGCTCTAGCTTCTTGAGGCGCTAGAGGGGATTTTTGACGAAAATAAGCGAAAAAATATACAACCCTGCATGCTTAGCCAAAGTGAAGGCCCGCTGATGGGCCGGAGGCCCGTACCCTTGTGTACATTTTTGCACTACCCGACTTGGGTTTCAGCGCCGCAGGCAAGCAAGGTACATGTACGCCAGGCGCGTCGCAGCGTAACAGTGATTCGTGAGATATCGCGAAGCCTGTTACGCGAGACGTGGTCTGGCGCACATCTACCTTCTAAGTTCAGCGCGCCGCAGGCCAAGGTAGACGCACATTTAGCTCAGCTTCACACGGTTTTAACGTGCGTGTGCGCTACCTTGTATGCAGGTGGTGCGGGTGCCCGAGCAGCAGCCTGCCCGCGTGGCACGTGCCGCCACCGCCGCCGGACACCAAAGTGACGAGGGCGCGCGGCGCATGGATCCTGAAGGTGGTCATCGAGGCGAGGCAGCACGGGTGGACGGGGTCGGACCTACATCAGCACGGCTGTCGACGCTCTGGTGGTAGATGTTTAGGGGAGATGTGTAACGTGGATGGTACATTTTTGAGTTCGAGACTCTGCGCGTAGCGAGGCGCGTGGCGATGCCCAGCCTGTGGCTCCTCTGGCTGCTGAATGTTACCGGCCAACCACAGGCAAAGGCCCGAGTTCTTGCCCGCCGCCGTCACGGTCAAGAAGTGCATCACGTAGGTGGACTGGGGTAGCCGCCGGCAGAAGCACGTATAGTGGGTCGCGGTCGTGGTGTTCGAGTCTGCGGCTGCGATACCTTCACTTCACGCCGGCCCGCGCGCACACTGAGAACTTTGACTGCTGGCACATCTCCTAAACGACAAATGTTTATGTTCAACTCGGCCGCGCGGGTCGCAATAGGGCGAAGCGACGATATTTTCTGGTAGAAAACGACAAACCTTTTAACCAAAAAAATTAAAACCCATACATTTTAGCGAGGGAGCGTGTGTAGTGTAGGTCTTATTGACCCGCCTTAGGGGCTGATCCGAAATAGGTTCAGTCGCTCTAGTTCTCTTTAAAGTTAAAACTTAAAAAGTTACACAATATAAAAATGTATTTAAGTAAACTTCATTGGAAATGTCAAACCAAATGTTATGACTAGTATAATTAAGAATTTTGCAGCCTCTGCCTCCTGGCATGGGTAGCGTTGAATTCGCTTATCAGATGGAAAACATCTTCTAGGGAAGAAGATGCAACCCACTCAACAATGGACACCAGGGTCTGACTGTTAGAACTTCATATTTCAATAACCTTCTCTCCATCAAATTTTCTTCTCTCTTTGCACAAATTCAACCTGCAAGTCACAAACAAATAAGTCAGAGTAATGAGTCACTTTTGTTCCCTTTAGGTGAGTATGGTGTGACCTAGGATTGAATAACTCCTGAATTAGGTGCACAAATTTCACGAATTGAATTGAATTGAATGTAAATTAGCTTGAATTGTACCAAATTGATTGAATTGTTTTTGAATAACTGCTGAATTATTTTGAATTAAATTGAATTTGTTTGAATTGGACAAAATTTGGAGTGAGCACCTAACAGGGGAGCCATTCATCCCTCGGGTGTGACACATTCCCCAGCGCATTTATATACTCACGGGGATTGGAGTTGCTCCTGCAAATCCGCCGTACCAGAATTCGGGGTGTATCTCCGCGACTCTTCCACTTTTGTTTGGATACGGACCTGATGGAATTTTCTTCGAGACATGTTTAATAGCTCGAGAAGTAATTTAACTTCAATGTGCGCATGCTCTCTGGCCTCTTGAAATTTGTCCTTTTTTAGGAGAAATAAAATAAATGCTACTATATATAGATATCTATAGAATCTATAGATTCCATTTTCCTTTGCATTTTATTCATGTAGGAAACAACACTGTAAACAAAAATTAATGTGTTATTGTTATTAGAAGTGTACCCCAAAGAAATCAAGATAAAAAACCTTCTGAGAATGAAAGTAAATGGACTATAATTATACTTGTACTCACGCAGCTTTGGTCGAATGTGAACAAGAGTTTAGAGGCATCATTCTTTCACTTTTAGTTACTTAGTCACTTTTCAGTCACTTTTAAGGCAGGTAGCAAAGATGCTGTTGTGGTTGTTTGGGGTCGCTCTTTTGGGTTAATGACCGCTGGACCAAAACAGCAACAACGATAAGAAATTACGCGATAGGTGAAAACACTGGACCTGAGCTGAGCGCGCGTTTGCCGCGTTGTAGTGTGTGTGTGTGTTTCTGGCAGCGTGAATCTTTATCTAATTGTGTTTGTAAGTAAAAATAAGTGTAATAATAAAAGGTTCAAGCCGGTACTACAAGAGGAAGTACCTTCAAGTTTCTGCCGAGCTAGAACGGCCAAAAACCGTGATGAGGAAGTAAGTCTATTTTGGTACATAAATTACATTTTTCCTTGCTCGTAGTAACAATACTTGTAAAGTCAGAAAACCCTTACTATTCGATCATGATCATTTCATCAACAGTATAGATTCTCTGTTTTAACATAAATGTAGGTTCTGATGTTAACCATTTTCCATCAGCTGTCAAATTATGTTAGGTAACGGCCTTAACCAGGAGCAGCAGGATAAAGTAGAAGTTGCTTCACGTCAGTTTCTTTTTAAATTCCGGCCTCAAAACAACATTTCTGATTGGGCATTTTGATATAAGCCCTTTTAAGGGTACTTTCACACAATTACACCCTTATCTTAGTAGTGCCATCGGTACAAAAGTCGACAAAAAAAGGGGGAAAAGAGTGGCCTTTTTTATGGTGGCACATCCACAATGAACTGTCTTCACTTCCATATTCAAAACTAATTATTATCTTTTGTTGTTTTGTTGTAATTCACAAGCTGCATTCATTTTATTACTTGTTAAACCGGAATCATGCCGGACAAGCTCGGAGTCATTTTGAACATGCCAGCCAGTATATTAATTTCAGCTCGGTGTGTAGTCTAATACAATCTTTCATGAGTAGGGTGTTATTGGAACGTCAATAAAATCAAACGAGTTTGACAAAAATTTCAAATCTTCTAGAAACTACTGAACATACACAGTCTAGCGTACTGAGATAATCTTCAGATGTTAAATGTTATCTACAAAGTGGACAGCAAAGATATTCCGGGCAAAACAGTGGTCTCAACCGACCTCGCTCAAACGTGCCAAAGGCCCGTTTTCCGATGACGCCTTACGATACAAAATAAAAGATTTCGCCCGTCCCAAACGCCGCCGGCATGCCAAGCTAGGCCCGAGTGGGCCTAGCTTGTTTTTTTAATGACGTCTTATGACTGAACACAAGTGATCAGATTAGGTTTATCAAACACTTTACTTTAGCTTTGCTATAAAATAATAGTTGCTTTACTGGTAAGGTGAAAACGAAAGTGAATGTTTGTCGGTCGGTGTCGAAAGCGGAGCGGCTTGCGACGGCCCATATTTTTCCCTCCCCATGAAAATTTCGGCCGACACAAATCGAAAAATGTCGGCACATTTGAGAATTCGGACACACTCCCTCACAACATGTCTTGACGATCTCAAAATCTACCTAATAGACAGAACATGCAACGAAACATGTTTCTGGTCTACTTACCAAAAGATTAACACACCACGTCACTAAACCTACAGCCCTTTCAGATTTACATGATCAGGCAATTAATACTACGAAAGAGATTACCTAGATCTACCTAAATAAGCGGAATAAGGGGATAAGTCACTTACCACCATGACCTTTTAATCATCTGTCACTGCAGTTTCTTCCTACAGTCATCGTAGGAATGTAACTTGTACTAAAAACTTACTCCTCAACTTCATTTTGGGAACTTCCGATGTACCAGACGGCCGATACAGATCAACTAAAGGCCACAGAGACACGTATTCCAGATTCCCCTCCACGGCAGAGAGATTCTCACGTGTGAAAAGTAGTGACCAAAATACAATGCACTTTGGAAACTAAGTAGAAAGAAGAGACAAGAAAACATGGAAATATGTACACAGAAACCAGGAAGGGAACAAACTTTAAAAATACCTTGAAGGAAGGCAAGTATACAATCACTGTTAAAGTCTTACGAAGAAAAATGCAAAATTCTTTGTAATACGAAGGATTTGGACGCTTCGTAGGGAGAAAATCCTTCGTAGGTACGAAGCATTTGGCATTTTGCTTCGTAAGACTTTAACTGTGTAAGCCAGCCTTACATTTATGCAGAGGTAAACAAATATGCAAAAGTGTACGTTTTCGTTCCCTCCGCGATTTTTTTTTTTTTTTTTTTTTTTCCACAGTGTGCATGAGATGAGCTGCACGCCAGGGAGACTGACAGAGGCAGTGCTGACAGTGGCGTTACACCGCTTGTCCGAATTGGCAAGTGAGGTAGGACAGCCAGCGTACCTCAAGTCAAAGGCGGTCTGCCTCTGCTGAGAGGTTGCGCTGCGCGCGAGGCGCACATCTCTGCGTCGAAAAGTCAACATGCGTATGCGTGCCGCTTGCGCCACCGTGCATAACGCACGAAGCCTGGTCATTGGCTATGCCGCAAGAGGGCGTGTCGTAAATGTTTGAGTGGCGCCAGTGCGTGTCTGCGCCGCACTCGCTCCGCCCCGCAGGCGCGCTGCACTGCAGCCGCACTGCACTGGAGCGGCGCGAGCTTAGCAGAAGCCTTCCAGCCACAACGATTCTTTCAGAGAGCCACGAGATACTGCTCGCTCACTGATCATCCCGCCTGCTAGTTAGAAAGTAATACAGCTGCTGTAGCCTCAGAGCAGCTACCGGGTGTCCGTCCGAGAGAATGCGCGGCAGCTCGATGGGTTGCCTACTCACTGGTGTGCAGGCGCGGCGGGAGAGGTTGGAGCGGTGGAGGTGGCGGGAGGCAACCACCCGCCTTCCTCCACCTCCACCGCTCCCCGCGCCCGGTACAGCAGTAAGCAGGATGAGAATTTGTTGCGCGAGGTGCACACGGTACAGACAATGTCTCTTTTTAGCAGATGATACCTTAAAGACCTTTTGACTAAACGTAAAGAATAGATAAGTTTTAAGGTGTCAGCTAGCTTTTACTCTCGAATCGGCAAGAGAATCAAGCGGAGACCAGAAAACAATTTATTTAGCGCTGGCGGAACCGTGTCCGGGTGGGTGCCTGAGTGAGTGTCGCTTCAGGCCCCTACCCTTACCCTGCTCAACAATACTAGGCTCCCTATCCCTCTCCCTGCACAACAATACTATCCAACGCCGGCCCCTGTGCCCGCGCTTTTCAACGCCGCTTGTTCGCTGAAATTGCAAATAACAAGAAACCAGAAACAAATGACAGCTAAATTCGGGAGAAAATGTGAAAACAGACATATTCTTAAATTTGTATCATCTGCTTTCAAGATAGATTCTTGATTTAGATTTTTTGAGGGAAAGGGGAAACTCCCTTGGTTTGAGGAAGGCTCCTTAGACTTTGAGGTCTCCTCAAAAAATAAGGGATTTTCCCTTTTCCCCTATATTTTGAGGGGGTTCCTTAAAATTTGAGGTAAAATCTTAGGCGTTTTCCTCAAACATGGAGGGCCCTCAAAGTTTCAAAGTTTTCCGTTTTCCCTCAGAAACTGAGACTTTGTTTTTACCCTGTGTTCGGGAATTTTCGATGGGTGGCCGATAGTAGGTATACAACGAGTTATAGGGAATTTACGAGTCGAAGTGAGTTGGGCTGGAGTGTGTTTTTCGCGATTAACGTGGGTTTTGCGAATTTTTAGCACGCCCTACTACTTTTTGAATGCTACCGAACGTGCTCATGCAAACGACCTGTCGAGTCAACCTTGTATATTAGAGGGAAGCGAAAAAAAAAAGCATTTGAGATAACGGCGGGTATGCGGAAAAGATGTCTTTTTCGATGTAGGATCCAGTGGAAGTTTTTATTTTGATATCAGACAATATTTGCCGATCGCGCATTAAGCTCACAGTTACGCATTAGCTCTTATGGGAAAAATCGTCAAAAACCATGAAAAAATGAAAATGAAAAATCTAGGCTTCGTATCTAATGTTTTTTTGAAAATCTGTTTTCAGAAATGCAATCTACGCCCAAAAAAAAACGCATCCACTGATGTATCACACTTGATATTATAGTGAATAGTTCAGTCCCTGCCAGCCATCAATTTTAGCCAAAGTTGCATCAAATTGCACAAACGTCATGAAATTTTGCAGCCTACACCGCCTAAACCATAGGTTGCAATATCAAGTGTGATACTATACCGGATGCCTTTTTTGGCGTGAATTGCATTTCTGAAAACAGATTTTCAAAAAACATCAGATGCATAGCCGAAATTTTCAACTAATAAACGCGTAACTTTGAGCTCGTTGCGCGATCGGAAAATATTGTTTGATCTGATAATAAAAAATTGCACTGCATTTCACATCTAAAAAGACAACTTTTAATCCACATATTCGTTACTTTAATATCTCAAATCATTTTTTATCGCTACCCTCTATTGTATATCTGCCTGTGTTTACGGTAAAAAGAATGTCTTGAAATCCCAGGAAATTTCTAGAATTTCAAGGTTGGGTGGATAATTTCAAGATTGGCCCTTGAAATCCCAGACTCTGCCTTGAAACCCGTAGCTTCCAAGGAAAATCCTTGGAATTTTTGTTTGGTATTCAAGGGTTTTCCTTGAAGCACGATCTGGATACTTTAAGGAAAACCCTTGAATACCAGACGAAAATTCCAAGGATTTCCCTTGGAAGCCACGGGTTTCGAGACCGAGTCTGGGATTTCAAGGGCCAATCCTTGAACTATCCATCCAACCATGAAACCCCAGAAATTTCCTGGGATTTCAAGACATTCTTTTGGCCGTGTTTTCCTATTTGTCGCACACACTAGAAGGGCTTATCTAGTGAGTGAAAGGGTCTATCAAAGGAAAAGAAGAAGGGCCAAAATGCTGAAAAAAAATAATGGTCCACTATGAGGTAACTCGTCGAAAAAGAACTCTTTCGAGTAAAATTTTTAGAGTTCAGCTTTTTTAAAACTATGGCAAAAGTCCAGTTTGAAAAACAAAACGAGCTAAAAATTGTGCTTTTTATTTTTTTAGCCCGCCCTTCTGCTTTGAAAAAGCTATCCAGCGGGCTTATGCAAACGACCTCGTGT